CCTTGTGCCGCGGGGGGCCCTGTGCCGCGAGCGGTTTCGAGGCATTTGGGTGGCTGTCGCCCCTCGCTCAGCGGCGGCAGAGGGCCGCCTCCCGTTCTGGCCGCTACCTTTCCTTTTCCTAGAAAATACGAGTTTTTCTCGACTCAGGGAAGCCAAGTTCAGCACAAGCCGTTTCCTTTGAAATACTCTGCTGCTGTGGTCCTCTACAGTCTTCCTTGCGAGCCTGGGACACAGACCCCTTGTTATTTACACACTGCAACCTAAGCTTCTGGGCGGAAGGCACTTATCTTCCACCTTGTTATGTAAGGCCCTGCAGGCCCTGTTTCTCCTGTGGGGTCACATCTGCACGGTCCCCTCTGGCCAGGTCCCTCTGTCAGCACACCCCACACACTTGCCCCGTTTTGTTCTTGGCTTACGCTCTTGGCCCTGGTGGTATGCCAGCTCTTGGCCCTGGTGGTACGCCAGCCACCGCTTTTCAACCTGGCCGGTGGAGTGCCTTCAAGACCCCTTCTCTGGTTGCTTCCTTTCCCTGTAGAAATGAGTCACCACGCCAGGTGGACTGGGCTCTTCTCGCATGTGGGGACTGTCCAGTTCACCTTCGATCTCGGCAGATTTTTTTGGAGTGCCTGCTGTGTGCCTGCCTGCTAAATGTCGGGGGTGCAGTGGTGACAAGACAGATAAAGCCCTGGGTGGAGGCCGCAGTCTAGTGGGCAGGATGGAAGGACACTCACACAGCTACCAAGGCACTAGGTGCTGTGAAGGGCATCAGGAGACGCCTTCATTAAAAAAGGGGAGGGAGGGGCGGGCAAGGCACATTGGGGGGAGCTGCCTGTCTGAGGCACCCGTGCAGTCCTGGTGCTGGGACAGCGGTTGGAGTTGACAGGCCCGTGGGAAGGGGCCGCTAACGGCATGGCCTGTGGGAAGGTCACAGTGATGAGAGGAGGCTGGTGAGACCGGGTAGGACCTTGGGAGCCCAGATGGGACAGCAGGTTGTATTTTAAACAGAAGCGCCTTGGCCCCTGTGAGTGCCTGTGGACTTGGGTTGATTGAATCCCATCAGAGCTCCTCCCAGGAAAGGGTCCCGTGCTGCAGCTTGCTTCGTGCGTGGCACAGCCCGGCATTGCCGTGTCAGTCAGCACCAGGCTCTGAGCTTTGGGCACATATTTGCCGAATTGGCCTGGGTTGGCTTGGATGGATCCATCGCGATCATTGCAGAGCCGCGGGTGCACAGGTGGAATTGAGGCCGTGCGGCACCTTCTCTGTTTCAGGGAGACTTAGTGCATACAGCCCTCACTTCACCACATCAGGATCGCCTGTGGTACTTTCTAAGCAGGTCTCACTGGAAACCAGCTGAGTCAGAATGTCCAGAGCAGCAGTTTTCAACCTCGGCGTGATCGAAATCACCCTGGGTGTTGGTCCAGCTTCTTTTATGTTGTTTAGCGACAATGGTAGTGGAGGGGCAGGAGTCAAGAAGAGGGAAGGGAACTGGCGGGATTTCTGTGTTTGCAGGAGTTGGTTTGGGCATCTCCTGAGCTTGGCAGAAAGGGATGAGGATGATGTCCTGTAAAATGTGTGTGCCGTGTATGGCTTCTAACACTCCTCCTCATGGCCTTGACAAATCCCGTGTAACTTGAGTTTCCACCAACCGATCAGCTGTTGCCCGAGTGAGATCTTCGAATATGTACTTTATAGAACTTGTGACTTTTCTGTTTTTTTTTTTTTTGAGTTGGAGTCTCACTCCATTGCCCAGACTAGAGTGTAGTGGCCGCTCCCGGCCACCGCAGCCTTGACCTGCTGGGCTCCGGCGATCCTTCCGCCTTAGCCTTCCAAGTAGCCGGAATTACAGGCATGTGTTACCACACCCGGCTGATTTTTTTAATTTATTGTAGAGATGAGGTCTCGCCAAGTTGCCCAGGCGGGTCTTGAACCCGTGGGCTCAGGCAATCCACTCACCTCAGGAACTTGTGACTTTTCTCCTCGAAGGATAGGAATTCATTTTCCTAATCTTAGACTCATCCTTTTTGCACATTAGTTTATGTAGAACTGGAGCACTATTGGGTTAGGAATCTCTAGATGGTAAGAAATTATTTGCTTCTAGTCTTTCATGCTCTGGGGAGGCTGATAACTTGTGTAGCCACGGATATTGAACAAAACTGCTATGATTCAGACACCATTAGAGGCAAACTCTGGTGTTGCTTTAGTGAAGAAGTGTTTTTGGCCAAAGTACTTATTTCCTTCAAGGAAAAAACCTCAAAGCCTGTGTATTTAGCAGCATACATCCTCCAGGTCTCAGAAAAATCCTCAAAACCACTTGGTTACACCTGAGTGACTTTTCCTCCAGTATGTGGGAATGGTGGCTGCCGTGATAGTGAGTGTGGGAGAGCGCCCAGCCCCACACTTCATGTGAACGTTACAGTTGCAGGGCCCCCATGTTTGTGAACGGAAATATCATGGCTGCTCACAAGACCCTTACACCAGCTTGGCATGTTAAACAGGTTGTAGAGACCCGGTTTGAAGCTGCAAGGTAGCAAGTGGAATAAGGGATGCAAAGGCAGGGAACAGGAGCAGTGACCGTTTCCCTTTTGGCTTTCCCTTGTCTTCCCATCTCTCGCTGACCATGGACCTGGCCGTGCCAGTTGCTGCTCCGTCAGTCGAAGGCTCAGCCAGCTGTCCAGCCATGACCCGCTGTGGAGACGACACTGCAAGAAGCACTGGCTCATCTCTGAGTGAGTGTGCAGCCGCCGAGCCCCAGGCGCGCTCCTCGCCCGCCTTCCTCTCTCTCGCCCTGGCGGCTCTCTGTGCCCGCATGTCTGTGGTGTCCCCTCAGCTCGGTCCTCGGCCCGCTGCTCCCGCGCACCACGTGCCGCTCAGGGCGACCACTGTGTGCTCCCAGCACTGGGCCGTCCCCCCCAGTCTCCACTTGTTGCGCGGCTGTGGCTGGGCCTCTCCGCCGGCGGGCTCACCCTTGCCAAAGAACAGGGGGCGGGAGGTGGGAGTTGGGAGCAGTGAGAGGAAGGAGGGAATACGAACACCTCAGGCGGGGGAGTCGGGGTGACTAAGGCTGGCAAAGCTGCAGTGGGGGGTTAAGGGTCCCCTTTAGGGCTGTGAATCCCCTGCAGCCCGCGCCAGGAGGTGGGGAGGGGGTGAGGAGCAGGAGGGCGTTTAGGGTTGCTGTGCCTCCGTCTTTCACTTCGGGGTGTCAGTGGACATGTGTAAAACGGACAGTTCAAGAACAGGAGGCTTAAATGTTAGACACATAGAGACTGCCCCTAGAAATCACTGAGGGTCTCCTCTGGGGGGTGGGCTTAGGGCAGCAGACTAGCTTTTCATGATGAGTTCTCTGGTGCTTTTTAGTTGTGTTAATCGATGTATGTATTGTACTCGCTATTAATGAAAAGGTGTCCCCCCCCGAAAAAACACGGAATCTATCTATTCCCCACTCCTAAAGCTGTGCTTCTGAGGTCCTAGTGTTTGTGAGCACCGACCCCTGGGCAGCTGAGCCAGGATCAGAAATCACCCTAGATATCGCTTGCGCTCACGTGCTCTCTCTTTCTCTCTCTCTGTCTGTCTCTGTCTATCTGTCTCTCTCACTTTCTCACTCTGTCTCTCATACTCTCTCACTCTCTCTCTATATCTCTCTCTCTGTCTCTTTGTCTCTTACTTTCTGTCTCTCTCTCCCTCCTCCTGCATTTATTCAGTGACCAGGCCTCTCTGATTTAGCTTCTGGCTTCTGTGTGCTTCTTGAGTCTCTGTTCATCCAGTTGCCATGGTGGTAATTCTGCTCGTCCTCCCTTCCCAGGACTCCTGCAGACTACCCCCCCCCACCATGTATCTCCATGCATCTGGTTCACACTCTTAGATCTACCTGGAAGCCACAGCCCCCACTCTGTTCTTCCCACTCTCCCAAACAAGCCCTTCTGCCTCCCTCCCCTCACAGGTGAAGTCCAAGCTCATGAGTGTTGTCCTCCAAGGCCCTCACTGCCCTGTCCTCTGTAACTGCTAACTCTCCAGCCGACGCCTCACTCTTTCTTCCTGGTTAGACTATCCATGTTTTGAAGGCAAAGAAAAGGCCTTGTTTCTTGATGTCCTCAACGGCTAAGTGGACATGTGGTAAATGTTTGGCAACTCACACCAGACAGAAATGTCAAGTCATGTCAGTACTTTTATGATTCTCAACTAATTTGGGGAGGTGCATGTTGAATTAATTTTGCTGTGTCGCTAGAGTCCAAGTACTCTCACAGAGAACAGCCTATGTGTCGCCTTTACAGTTTTACACTTGGCAGACCTTTAAGAGTCAGTTGAAATTTTTACCCCATGTCGTGCTCAGACTATGTATTATTAAGGGTTAGGAAATTTAGAAACAAATCAGCAGTCAGAAGATAAGTAACTCATGCCCCACCATGCCAGCAGTACCTTCTGTTAAGTGTTGGCTGCTGTGTCAGCTTTTGCTGCCTGGTCTTCCTTTGTGACAGAGACACATGAAAAGGAAGGCAAACATGAGACCAGTTCCCAGCATGCTGCTTTGAACACACGCGGATAACATCACTTCAAAAGATGTCCACTTCGTGTCTTTAATCTAACAGGGAAGAGAAGACCCAGAAGAACCAGTGTTGGAAGTCCCTCTTCATAGACACTTACTCCGATGTGGGAAGATACATTGACCACTACGCTGCCATCAAGAAGGCCTGGGATGACCTCAAGAAATACCTGGAGCCCAGGTGTCCGCGGATGGTGCTGTCTCTGAAAGGTACTGGGAGTGCAGGGTTCCCCATCCCGTCTTCGTTACTCTTAGCTCTGCCAGGTCAGCATGGATAGCTTTGACTCTGTGGTCTGTGTAGCCATGTTAGTTCAACTCGTCTGTAAGTTCCTGTCTGGCAAAGAAGTGGCTCACCAGTGCTGCTCCAAGGCCTCTTGCTCTAGGGCGTGGCCTACTTCCATGCCGTTTCGGGCTGTTTCCCAGAAGGAGAGCAGTACTCCTTTATCCTGACTTTTACGTAAAGAAATGAAGAAGGCCAAGATTGCTTGAGAACAACTGATATGAGTTCTTTTAAAATACTTCTTTACTTTTTGAGTTGGGGTCTCATTCTGGAGAATAGTGGTCTATTTTTTAAGTCAGGGTCTCCAGGTTGGAGAATAGTGGTGTGATCGTGGCTCACTGCAGCCTCAACAACCTGGCCTCAGGAGATCCTTTTGCCTCAGCCTTCAGAGTAGCTGGAATTATAATCTCACACCACCATGACCAGCTAATTTTTTTTTCTTGTAGAGACGAGATCTCGCTATGTTGTCCAGGTTGGTCTCAAACTCCTGGGCTCAAGGCTCCCAAAGTGCCAGGATTACAGGCGTGAGCCACTGCGCCTGGCTTAAAATACTTTTTTTGATTGAGAAACTTTGGCTATCATATCAACATTTTCTCCTGTTTTTAGTACAAGTAGATGTTTGCTTGGTCTTTAAGAATGTAAGAGCTACCTAATAGAGTAAGGAAAACTTTTATCTTTACTTTGATGGGACAGAGTAGTGAAACAAAGATTTGAACTGAGGCCTATTTGACCCCAGAATCTGCTCTTTGTATTACACTGTAATTGTCTGATTTAGGTAAGAAATATTAAACTATTCCCATTCCTTTAATTTGTTAACTATCTCCATGAACATGCATGGATTGACTGCAGATGTACAAGGAGGACCCTCCCCACTAAAAGTGGAATTATTTTTGGAGAGTGGACCCTTGTAGTCTAGACTTCTCCTGGTAAGTAAGTGTTCTAGGTACCCACTGGCATCTGTGGACCAGCTAGCATTGTGAGAGGCTGCGTTTGGCTTCAGTGAATTTTCTTGGAGATTCTTTCACTGTGATTTCCCATTTCATGATGGGTGATTTACAAGAGCACCTGCCCACACCAAGCTGAGCGTTCAGCAGTTTTGGACCCCAAACGGCATGACCTCCATGCCCCGCCCTTCCTATTCACCCCATCTCGCCCCAAGCAGCTTTTTCTAAAAAAATTCCACGAATGAAAAAAGTCCTCAGAAGGAAACATTTTTCTGATGTGGAAGAGGTGAAACAGAAACGGCAGAAGCCCTAAAAGGCATCAAAACTACAAGCTCAAAAACTCTTTTGAGCAGTGGGAAGTGTGTGTCAATAGGTGTGTCGCATCAAACACAGAGGACTTTGAAGGTGACTGAAGTTTAAACATGGAAGAAAAAGTACACGATTTTTTCTAAATAAATTCCAGTTAGGGGGGAGGGTTCCCCCTCGTATTGCTGTGTATCTGCTTTATCTGCCATGTTTTGTCAGATTTCTCTCCTGAAAGGCGTTGTATTGATGCTGGTTTTGCTAAGTTAGAAGCAGAGTCAGTTCCCCTCAAATGTTTTCCTTCCTCTAGAACTAAGACCTCTCTTGACACAGCATTTCTTTTGCATTTTATATTTCCTCTGTAAATTCCTATGCAAATATCACTTGTATACACATTGTGGGTGCATGACAATCTGCTTAAAACAGAATTGCTAGAAGGAAGGAGAAATAATGATTGGCAGAGTGTAGAGTAGAGCTTTGAAGGAAAGAATTCTTGATGGATATTTCAAATAGCTTATTTTCTTAGCAGAAAAGAATAGTACTGTTTGCCTGGTATGTGGGGTTAAATAATTTAAGGGGAAAATAATTATGAAAATAGGCATTTGGTGGAGATAAGAAAAATAGGTAAGCCTTACAATTGCTGTTTTTTTATTAAGCACCAAGCAAGGCACCAAGCTGAGTATTTCTTGAGTATTCCTCCATTTAATTTGCAAAAGTTTTATGGGATAAGAAATCACTGATCTCATTGCATTTCCCTGGGGATGTAAAATGATGGCAGTTGTGCTTCCAGCTTTCCAGTCTTCGTTGTCACTGATTTCTTTTTCTTGCTTTATTGGCTAGCCTCCTTGGTATGGTGTTGGGTAGACATGGCGGTAGGTCGGTGGACATCCCTTTCTTTCTGATGGTGGAAGGAAAGCTGCCAACACTTCACCTTTAAACAGGACGCTGCTGTACGTTTTCTGTGTCAGATTGAAGAAATTCCCTCTGACTGCGTTTGCTTTTTGTTTCAAGTGGATAATTTAATGTCTGTCAACTGCCTTGCCTGCCTTTTGATTCCCATATGATTTTCTCCTTTGTTCTGTTATCACAGTGAATCGTGTTGGTTGACTTTCTGAATGCTAAACCAACTTCATATTCCTGGAACAAACTTATTTGTAATAGAAAACGCTTTTTCTATGTATTGAGTTTGATTTCCTAACATTTTATTGGGACTTGCACACCTATGCTCATGAGAGTGCATGGACTGTGATTTTCCTTCTTGCAGTGTTCTCATAAGGTGTTGGTATCAAGATGGGGCTGGCCTTGCAGACCAGTGGGAAAGTGTCGCCGCTTTTTCTGTTCCCTGGAAGAGCTTATGTGAGCTTGGTCTTGTTGTTTGCCTAAGTGATTGGTAGATTGCACCAGTAAAGCCTCAGTCCTGGAGTTTTCATTGTAGGGGGGTTTTAAGTCAATGATTCGGTTTCTTTATGAGATATAGGACTGTTCATATTTTCTATTTATTCTTTTTTTTTTTTTTTTTTTTTTTTTTTGAGAAAGCAGTATTTATTGAGAGGACAGAAAAGCTCCCACAGTCTGAGGGGACCCGAGGGGATTGCCGTTCTATTTATTCTTACGTCAGTTTTGATAAGTTTTTTTCTAGGAAACTGTCCACTTCATCTGCAATCTCACATTTATTAACATAAAGTTTGTATATATAGTTAGGTAAATTTTGTTAACTTTGTTCAGATCTTTGCATGCTCACTCTATAGCTTTTTTTCTTGTCTGCTTGTTCTGTTACTTGCTGAGAGAGGTGTGCTAAAATCTCTCATCATGGTAGGCAGAGTTCTGAGATGGCCCCTGTCCATTGGTGTACATGCCTAGTATAACTGTCTCTCCTTTGAGTGCAGGTGGTACTGTGAATGCAGTAGATTTTCCTTCTGCGATTAGGTCATGGTGTATAGAAAATTTGAAGGGACTTTGCAGATGTAATTAGGGTCCCAAATTAGTTGAATTTGAGTCAGTTGTTAATCAAAAAGGAATTACCCTACGTGGGCCTTACTGAATCAGATGAGCCCCTAAAAGGGACTGGGTCCTTTCAGAAGTCAGATTCAGTGTGTGTCTCCTTTTGACTCTGGAGAGGGACACATGGGAAAGAATGGCAGATGGCCTCGGAGCCTGCAGCTTGGAGGAGGGTCTCAAGCATGAGATGCTGAGAGCACAGCCCCAGGCGATGCCGGGACGGCAGCCCCTCGTGCCTGAGCAGCGGATCCGCTTGGGCCCCACCTGGACTTCTGACCTGCGGAAACGGTGCAGTGATAGGCCAGGGTGGCCTCAGCAGCAAGAAATCCGTGTAGCCGCTGTGAGTGTGGTGTGTCTCTCCCCATTTTGGTTCCATCATTAGAAATGCACCCTTCGAAGCTGTGCCGTGAGGTGCATAGGACGGGGAGTGTGACATCCGTGTAGAGACGTCAACCTCATCACGAAAAGTCCTCTGTGAGTGCTAACCAGGACTTGGCCTGACCTTGGCCTGTAAGCCGTTTCCTGTGGTTTAGCAGAGCCACTCTGGCCTTGTTTCTGTATTCACGTGACAGTGCATCTTGTGTATAACTGGGCTTTATTTTATCTGGCCTGCTAGTTTGCCTTTTTTTTAAATTATTGTCTCTTCATATTTGAAGTATTGATACGTGCGTTTTAATGTACCATGCTTGTTTGTTTTTCTGTGTCCCACCTGTTCACTGTCCCTTTTCTGTAATCTTCTTAATTATGGGCTATTCCATTCCTGCCTCCTTTCTGTTTTTAGTGATTGTGCTAGAGATTAAAACATGCCTCTTTGGCTTATTAAAGTCCAATGTCAATGAGTTATTTACTACTTCCTGGATATGAGAGAGTCTTGAAATACTTCCCCTCTGTCCTCCCTCCTGCCTTTGTGATTTTGCCTTTCACGTGTTCGGTATCCCTGAAGACGCTGCTGTTCCTGTGCTCATCACCACCTTAGACCTGCCTGTCCTGGTTCTCTTCGCCCCTCCCTGTGTCTCCCTGTTCCCTCCCTCGAGAAATTCCCTCTCAGAGTTCTTTCGCGAGGGACTGCTGCTGCTGGGCCTCAGATTTGGTTGATCTAAATGTAGTTCTTTCCTCTTCACTGTGGAAAGCCGTGCTCACTGGCCGTAGCATTTTTGCAGGCAGTGGTTTCTCCACTCCTTGGAAGGTCTGTTTCTCTGGCTTCTGTTTCTCTGTGGGGGCCGTCAGTTTCACAGTTGTTCCTATGAAGGGGATCACCATACTTTTTGTCCTCTCTCCACTGTTATCAAGATTCCTCTGTCTTTGATTTTCAGTTTTCTGCTGATGTGTCTAGAAAATGATTTTTTTTGGTACTTATTCTCTGCAGGGTTTATAGTGCTTCTTGAATCATAGTTTGATGTTTGCGTCAATCTTGGAAAATTCTCGGCTGTTGTCTCTTCAATTGCTACTTCCGCCTCATTGTGTTCTTCTGGGATTCCAGTGCACGTGTCTTATTTATTTACATGTTCATTTGTGATTCTTTTTTTTTTTTTTTTGAGTTGGAGTCTTACTCAGTTGCCCAGACTAGAGTGCAGTGGCCGCTCCCGGCCACCGCAGCCTCGCCTGCTGGGCTCCGCCGATCCTTCCGCCTCAGCCTTCCGAGTAGCCAGAATTACAGGCATGCGCTACCACGCCCAGCTGATTGTTTGATTTATTGTAGAGATGAGGTCTCGCCAAGTTGCCCAGGCGGGTCTCGAACCCGCAGGCTCAGGCAATCCACTCACCTCAGCCTCTCAAAGGCGTGGGATTACAGGCTGAGCCACTGAGCCCGGCTCATTTGTGATTCTTAAACCCGATTTGTTGTTGTCATTACTCAGGACAGGTTTAGTCTGGCAGGCCGTGGTTGGATGTAGACCTCTTCCCTCGGTATTTATCATTTCTTCCTGCTTTTTGAAGCTAGACTACGTGGTGGGTTTGCAAGCATGCAGATAGGAGGTGGGTTAGCGACCTTCTCACAGCATGTGCCTGTTCCTTATGTCTCATACTTCCCAGTAAGAGAGGATGCTAAAACCTGGGTGATGCTGGTTTTGAGAACTGTTGGAGGGCTGTGTTTTTTAAATAAACAAGGCAGTGTGAATATATTAGATTTAGAAAATGAGGTCTGCCATGAGGTTTGTGTTGTAATGTGAAAAAGTCACTGTGGGCCAGGCACAGTGGCTCATGCCTATAACTCCAGCACTTTGGGAGGCCGAGATGAGAGGATTGCCTGAACTCAGGGGTTTGAGACCAGGCTGGCAAATTGGTGAGACCTCGTCTCTACAATAAATCAAAAAATTAGCCGGGTGTGGTGGTATGTGCCTATAGTTCCAGCTACTTGGAAGACTGAGGTGGAAGGATCGCCTGAGTCCAGCAGGTTGAGGCTGCAGTGGCCGTGATTGACAGAGTGAGACTTCAACTCAAAAAAAAAGTCACCATGGCTCTCACTGGCTCCTGCCCTCCCATGTTTGCCTGAGTGCCAGTGTGTTCCCATTTCCTGCATTTCCGCAGTGTGTGCTGGACAGAGCTGGCTCGCTCCAAGGCTGCGTCTCTGACTGGCAGGTGGCAGCTCGCACCTCCTCCTGGACATAAGGTCACCTCCTCATGGTTGCTTCTTTTTGCGTCTGCAGAGGGCGCCCGAGAGGAGGACCTGGACGCGGTGGAAGCCCAGATCGGCTGCAAACTCCCCGACGATTACCGCTGCTCCTACCGCATCCACAACGGACAGAAGCTGGTGGTGCCGGGGTGAGACATGCTACCTTGGGGCTGTTCTCAGTGCAAGTTATTTTGTAGAAGAGTCAATCCCGTGTGTTTGTAGTTGCCCTCTACACACTGAGGAAGTAGAGGAATCCCCTTCTCCTTCTTAGAGCAATCCATGGCAGAACCCACAGCTTGAACTAGACTTTCCCAAGTCAACACGTCTCATAAAAGCATCATCCCCACCGACATAGCCTTATAGTTGAAATGGGCTGGGTGCGGTGGCTTATGCCTGTGACCCAAGCACCTCAGCCTCCTGGCCTTCATGCCCGGCTGTGGGACTTTTTGGTAAAAGTAAGTAGACCATGCAGCCGCCATCAGAACTCACCCAGTTTTAGAAGCTGGGCTCTTTGAGCGAGGCTGCTCCTTTTGAACTCTGATGAAATGAGCTACTTAAGAGACATTGTGCCCGTGAAATGCTCGTAAGAATTACAAGGAGAACTTCGCATGTTCTCATTGGAACCTGGTGTTCCTCTGTGCATGAGGAATCGTGTGAGGCTCTGTTACAATTTCAGATCAGGGTTAAGTCCAAGGACCCCCAGAGGTGATCATATTGTAATTACAAGGTAGTATTGGGCATGGGTCAGAAATAGACGTCAGGCTGAGCACGGTGCTTCATGCCTGTGATCCCAGAGCTTTGGGAGGCCAAGGCAGGACGATCGCTTGAGGCTAAGAGTTCAAGACCAGCCTGAGCAACACAGCGAAATTCTGTCTATACAGAAAATTTTTAAAAATTAAAAAGAAAGGCCAGGCGTGGTGGCTCATACCTATAATCCCAGCACTTTGGGAGGCAGACGTGGAAGGATTGCTTGAACCCAGAAGTTTGAGACCAACTTGGGCAACATAGCAAGACCTTGTCTCTACCAAAAAAACTTAAAAGCAAGAACTAGAAGTTAGTTAGGACTAGATAAGCCTAAATTATTGCCTTTTTTTTTTCTAGTCTATTTTCCTATAGAACTGAAACTAAGAGAAGTTGAAACATTGTCATATTTCAAGAGCAAACAGGAGAGAGAGTTGTTAAAAAAGAGTTGCCCAGAACTGAAGGGCAAACAGGTCATACATTTCAACCCAGGGATTTTCACCTACACATGGCCTGGTCGTCAGGCTTCAGGTAGGAATGTCGCCAAGGAACTCCTTGACACCTGTTGTATATGTAGTGAGATTAATTTATACCCCAGGCCTTCCAAGTTTGTGAAAATCTGAGCAAGTTTTAGGCTGACTTACATTTGTACTGTCTGCCAGCACAGGGTAAACTAAAGATTGTATCAAGATAAAGGTGTCATAGAATGTGCCCCTCTAAGCATTAAATTAGCCAAATGTACATGGTTAGCAAAACATGGACACAACAGTAGATCATGGCAAGCTAGTTTCCTGGAAACAGTGAAACTGTTTCTTTTTAAAACACTGACATTTAGACATTTTGGACATTGAATTTTTAATTTAAGTCAGAATCTTCTTTCCAGTTAAGGGAGTTTTGAAGTGACTGTTTAGAAGCTGCAGCGCTAGGGTTATTCCTGGCGTGGAATTGTCCCGTGAGTCCGTACTTACAAGGCCATGGGTGTGAAATTGTCCTTCACCGGAGGGCACGCACACTGTGTGTCAGGCCTGCAGCTCGCTATGTTTCGCGTCTGCATTCTCTCTAGGCTGCTGGGAAGCATGGCGCTGTCCAACCACTACCGCTCCGAAGACCTGCTGGATGTGGACACGGCTGCGGGAGGCTTCCAGCAGAGGCAGGGGCTGAAGTTCTGCCTCCCGCTCACCTTCTGCATCCACACTGGCTTGAGCCAGTACATCGCGGTGGAAGCAGCAGAGGGCCGGAACAGAAACGAGGTCTTCTACCAGTGTCCCGTGAGTAGCCGTGTGCGTGAGCCTGGCCGCCGGGTGTGTCCTGCGGCTGCACAGGCGTGGGCGGGTGTGACTTCAGGGCTGCGGGCTGGGGTAGAGCGTCTGCCTGGAGTGGGAGTGGCTGATATGATGGCATGATGCCGTTTCACCACCGGACACCCCGACCCAGTGTGTCTGCAGATCGTGTTAGGCGTTTTATGTTTAAGGAAAGCCAAGGAGGAGCTCTTTGTTGAGTAATTAGTTACAATAGATGTTTCTAACTTTGTAAAAATCTTGCTTTTGAACATCCTTTGATTCAAGGTCTGAGTGCAGTGGGAACTTTTTAAACTCTCTTCAGTAGGTATTTGACATGTCCAAAAATGTAGTTCCTTTTGGGGAGACTTTTATGATTTAACATAACCACGTGGCTCTGTCATGGGCCTGGCTTCGTTTTTGCTTCCCAGTCCCCAGGGCCCCTCAGTGCTATGACCTCTGCCTTCATCTTTGCCCGGGTGTGAACTTTTTCCTTAAAAGAGGAATTTAAAATAGAAGATACTTTTCATAGGTATCTGAGACGTGTGACTTCAGATAATGTTTTAAATGTTTAAAGAGCTTCTATGGGTTTTAACTTTTTTTTTTTTTTGAGCACGTTCATGGCTTTTATCTCTGGGCAGGATGGTGGCGTGGTCTCTTTGTTTACTGAGAAAAGTACCTCTAGAATGTTAGGTGCTCGACCCTCAACTCCAAACCCTTCCTTCTGGGTAATAAATCATGCAGCTTCTCACCTCAACTGTGTTTGCACAGTGTTGCCTTGTCTCCAGGGAAAAGACACAAGTAAGGAATAGCAGAAGTGAAGTCCAGTGTGTTTTTCTCAATTGTATTCTTTTTCTCACCTAGGACCAAATGGCTCGAAACCCAGCTGCTATTGACATGTTCATCATAGGTAGGAAAGAACACATCTTTCTTTTTCCCTTCCTCTTGGTGGGAACCTCTCAGCCCCTCAAGCAGCTGGTGGCCTGAGCTCACGCTCCTCAGGCTTGCTGTTGGGAAGTCCTGTGTCCAGGCTCCGGGAGGGCAGCTCACGCTTTGAAGTTTTGTCTGTTTGGGAAAAAGCCCATCCTGACACGGTCTTATGCTCTGAGGACTCTTCTGTAGGACAAGGCCATGCCCAGAACTGCCATGAATGTGCATATGGTGCCCTAGACACATGCGTCACCGGCCCTCAGTCATGTTCATATGTAGCTGGAGGTGTAGACACGTGGGCACCTTTCCTCTGCTGGTGCCACTGCAGTGGCATGGGGATGCTGACGAGTCACCTCAGAGACTGTGATGCCCACAACCCCAGCTCCTGCTCGGCTCACGTTCTTTGACCATCGGAGGGCCGTGCTGGCTGGCTTGAACCCTCCCCATGTAAGCAAGTGAGCTCGCTCTGCTGCTGTTCATCAGGCTTGCCTTGCTTAGATTTTGCTCACCTAAGAGAAGCTTCTGGACTGTTCTGCTTTTTTTTGAGTCAGAGTCTCCCTCTGTCACCTAGGCTGGAGTGCAGTGGCATGCTCATGGCCACCCCAGCATCAGCCTGCTGGACTCTAGTGTTCCTTCCACCTCAGCCTTCCAAGTAGCCAGAACTACAGGTGTGCGCTACCACACCTGGCTAATTTTTGATTTATTGTAGAGACAAGGTCTTGCCAAATGGCCTGGGCTGGTCTCGAACCTCTGGGCTCAGGCAGTCCACTCGCCTTGGCCTCTCAAAGTACTGGGATGACAGGCCGAGCTGCCGAGCCTGGCCCTCTCCAGAATCTTTTTTTTTTTGAGTCGGAGTCTCCCTCTGTTGCCCAGGCTGGAGTGTAATGGGCACGCTCACAGCTCATTGCAGCTTCTGCCTACTGGGCACAGGCGATCCTTTCATCTCAGCCTTCCAAGCACCCAGAACTATAAGCGCGTGCCACCACGCCCAGCTAATTTTTTGAGTTATTGTAGAGATGAGGTCTCGCCAAGTTGCCTGGGCTGGTCTGGAACCCATGGGCTCAGGTAATCCTCTCACCTCAGCCTCCCAAAGTGCTGGGATGACAGGCATTAGCCACTGTGCCCAGCTTGTTCTGCCTTTTTTTTTTTTTGAGTCGGAGTCCTGCTCTACTGTCCAGGCTGGAGTGCAGTGGCATACTCACGGTCATCGCAGACTTGACCTGCTGGGCTCTGGTGATCCTTCCGCCTCAGCCTTCTAAGTGGCCAGAACTACAGGCACGCACTACCACACCCGACTAATTTTGGTTTATTGTAGAGACGAGGTCTCACCAAGTTGCCCAGGCGGATCTCGAGCCTGCAGGCTCAGGCAGTCCACTCGCCTCAGCCTCCAGAGGCCTGAGCCACTGTGCCCAGCTTGTTCTGCTTTTTAATGGCATCACAGACACCGACTAACCATCCCACACAGTGACGGTGACAGGCCCTTGCGATGCGGGCAACTGTGTTTAGTTCTGTCTTCTCATTGGAGCTGAGCATTGTGTACTTCTGCAGTCCACATTCTGGGTCTGCTGGGTGGCGGCCCTCACCAGTTGGCCAGGAAAAACTGTAAGATCCACCCTGTTCAGCAGAGTCCAACTCCCGTGTCCCTGGTTTCTGGGCTAGGCACCCTCCAAGACTACCTCGCTGGCATTTTGCATGGCACGTGCTTTCAGAGACTCCCCAGTGGCCTAGGCTGTAATTGGAACTGGAATTCTCTCTCTGGGCTTGTGCTCATCCACGCAGCCTGGAAGGCGGCCATGGCCACAGGGGCCTGAGGTCTGGGGCAACTGTCCCGGCAGCTGGAGCTCCCTGGTGTGGATGGAAGCAGAGGAGTAGAGACCCTGCAGAGATGAGGTAGGAGTTAGTGCCGGGAGAAGAGAGGAGGAGGCCACTTCCTGTGAGCACTGGACAGAACCCAGGACAGTCAGACAAACTCTGAAAGGAGCTTACTCCGGGAGGCAAGCCCTCTAGGATGTGGAGACGGTGTCCTGGTGCGGCCCGGCTGCCTTGTCTTAGCATGCTTGGTAACACAAGATGGTGTCTGTGTACAGTTGGCTTAGTGGTGGATGCTGTCTATTCTATCCTCGTCCTAAAGAGCACATTCTGGTATTGTAATAAATTAAGGTACATTAAAATGTGCCATGCCGATTTCCTTTCTATGCAAACCATGAGATTTTTATTTTTACTTCTGTAACATTTTTATTCCATGAAGTATACAAAATGATTTTTTAAATTCTTCAGAGAGATTTGGTTCTAAAAACATAAAATTATTCCTTCCATGAATTTTAAAGATATTCCTTAATATCTTGCTCAGAGAGTGGGTAGATGAGCAGTAGTCTTTTTTTTTCCCCCCCTTTGGAGTCAGGCCTCCCTCCGTCACTCAGCTGGAGTGCAGTGCTGTGATTACAGCACACCACACCCTCAAACTCCTGGGCTCAAGTCATCCTCCCACTCCAGCCTCCTGAGTAGCTGGGACTACAGGCACGTACCACTATGCTTAGATAATTTAATTTAAAAAAAATTTTGTAGACACAGGGTCTTGCTGTGTTGCCCAGGCTGGTGTCGATCCCCTGGGCTCAAGCAGTTCTCTCATATCAGCCTCCCAAAGTGCTGGGCTTACAGACCTGAGCCACTGCAGCTGGCCTTATCTGTGATCTTTGAATACAATAGCTTTTAATGAATAGTGGGTCAGAACGAGCCACTAATGGAAGTGGAGAAGAGAACCACCTCTCTCAATCAATACCTTTAGAGGCTTAAAGCCTTGTACCCTCAGATACTAGTCAAATTGTATCTTCTGTCATTCTCTGAATAGAATAATTAGTAAGTGCTATAAATTTAGTGTCTGACTTTCAGGGTGGCAGACTGTAGGAACTTGGTTAATTGAAGCCAGATTCCAAAGAAAGTCACTGAATGGTATTGATTAAAGGACCAGACACCAAGGTGAATTAACAGTAAATACTCAGGTGTGATGGTTACATTAAGCACCCCAGAAAGGGTCAGCAGGATTCAGGTCAGCATTTGTTACTGGTCCAGTCCCTAGATGGTAGGTGTGTGGTCTGGATGGACGGTTCCATCCTCCTTTCCTTCTCTGAGCTGGTCACTGGGGTCCCGGCGGACCGCTGTGCTCGGGCATCAGTGGTGTGCAGCAGGACCACCTGGGACTGGCCTCACATGCAGAACCCACATGCCCTGCCCCAGTGGGCCTCCAGACCAAGCCTGGGTCTGCCAGAACCTGGGCCTGAGCCAGGATGGACTGGGTGCTGCCCTGTCTCCTGGGAATGGGCTGGTGTTTTCTCTGCGGTTTCTTCCTAGCCACAGCTGCCTCTCCTTTGTTCTGTGCATTCATAAGTTACAGGTAGAAGGCTGTGATTGTGTCACAACAAATTGAGGTCTGAAAGTCAAAGACATAACAATGCATGTTAAACAAAACCAGTTTGCAGATAGTTGGCGGACACCCTAGCAACAGTTGGGGGAAGAGCGGGAAAGAAGTCCCAGAAATGAGGGGGAAAGAGTTGGCAGCAGAGACTGACCAGCTAAGGCCCTAGTGGGCTCACGCCTGGAGAGCTTTCTGGCCTTGGTAGCACGTCTTGACGTGCGGGGAAGTGATAGTCATCTCCTGCGTAGAGCGCACAAAAATGACTTTGCTTTTCTTTCCTCTTCCTGGTTTGTAGGTGCTACTTTCACCGACTGGTTTACTTCTTACGTCAACAACGTGGTGTCGGGTGGCTTCCCCATCATCAGAGACCAAATATTCAGGTATTTTCTGTGGGACTTTGGATCGAAACGTGTGTGAATCAGAAAAAAGCCATCAGCCGCACACCCGATATGCAGCTTCCCAGGAAGGCTAACAGCAACACCCTTGGTATCCTCAGCATCAGTGCTCTGTTCTCACTTGAAAGCCAGAACATCCAGACGCTCAGACAAACTGGCATTTTTCCCACCTTGAAGCATCAAAAGAAAATCTGATTTTAATTTAGAAACTATGGCTTTATAGTAGCCATGGAAGTTTTTTTTCTGAAAGCTGTTTGCCAGCTAACAGGTTTATTATGAATAGCAACTCGGTAACTATTAACTCTTTGCAAATATGGTTTATCCTCTCCAGATGGAACACGCAGGTATTGTAGATAGTATTAGAGATGGTGCTGGCTCACAGTAGCCTGGCTGGCAGAAGTGACAGATTGATGATACAGCCAGTTCCCTACACACACGAACCTCCAAGTTGTAAATTTCCAAGGATGCAGACATGCATTCACGTGTCCAGTAGTGTAAGTTAGTTCCCATGTCTGACATCCACTGTCACATGTGCACAACGTCCAAAGCGGTCATGCTTTTGTGTTACTTTACTGTAGAGGACCGTGGCGAGAACGGTAGTGCAGCATCTTTATTTTAAGTCCGGGATGTCCAGAGCAATGGTAAAAGCTGTCACGTTGTCACTGGCACTGCCAAGAAGCCAAGTGATCACGACGAAAACAAAAGTGAAAAGAGTTGAGAGGGTGGAGCCGGTAAAAAGAAGGCAGGCGCCGCTCGTTCTCACAACCTGGATCGGTCATCCGTGGGCGTGACACTCTGAAGAGCAAAGACGAGGTCCTGGAGCATGGGAAGTCTTATGACCTTGTGGAACTTACAGCCAGATGGACTTGGGAATGCACACTCAGAACAGAACTGTTTTGTGTGTAGGGGGCTTGCTGTATGTTAGAGGCTTCTGAGAACAACACGCGAACACATTTTTATGGCCAGAGCCACCGTTCAGCAAGTGTGGCCGGGTTTTCAGATTCCCCAAGTTTCCTAACCCTGAAAACAGAGATGAGCCCTTTTTAGCTTCCACACTAGTGACCAGTTCGTGACCTGAGCCTGGTCCTTGAACTGGATTGCTGTCACCACTGACCAGGGCTGCCAGGGTTTTCTAGTTTGTTTCCAACTTTCTTCCAAGTCTAATAGGACGGCACCTAAGTATTGTTTAAACACAATTTACCTTTTCGATCTTAGAGTATAAGCCGTTTTGCATGACGCCTTTAAACCTTTTAAACCTGAAGTTCGTGGATTCTGAAGTGTTTGGGTTTTTGATACCTAGGTATGTTCATGATCCGGAGTGTGTGGCCACCACTGGGGACATCACCGTTTCCGTCTCCACGTCGTTTCTGCCAGAACTCAGCTCTGTGCACCCCCCGCACTACTTCTTCACGTACCGAATCAGGTGAGCGTTGTCAGTGGCCCTTCCAGTTGCCAGCCAGCTCTGTCCTGTGGATGGGTGTGACGTTCTGTTTGACACGGCTCAGACACACCTTGAAGGAGGCTTCCGCTGACGTTTGAGGAAGGAGCACACTTGTCTATGATGTCGTGCTCACCAAGGATCCTGACTTCACGTTCGCCTCTGAGTCCAACAACTTGTGGTTGTACATATAAAGCACTGTGCCCTGAACTTGGGAAGTGGGCCATGAAGGCTCTGAGTTGGAATGCATTCCAGAAGCTGTCAGATCACCAAAAATAAATGACGGCTTTTAAATTTCATCTGGCCTGCCATTATATTCAGTTAAAACCTAATAACTGTGTATTGAGTGCATCTTGTATGTTGGGCATGGCATTAGGCATTGGGTTTCACTAAATAAGAAACAGATATTTGCCAGGCATGGTGGCTCACACCTATAATCCCAGGACTTGGGGTGGCAGAGGCAAGAGGATTGCCTGAGCTCAGGGGTTCGAGACCAACCTGGACAACTTTGTGAGACCTTGTCTCTACAATAAATCAAAAATTAAGCTGGGCGTGGTAGTGCTCCTATAGTTCCAGCTACTTGGAAGGCAGAGGCGGAAGGATCTCCTGAGCCCAGCAGGTGGAGGCTATGGTGGCTGTGAGTGTGCCCCTGCACTCTAGCTTAGGCAACAGAGTGAGACTCTGACAAAAAAAAAAAAAAAAAAAAGAAAAAGAAACATATTTTAAATTCCCTTTAGTTATAAATATTCTCTGCTAGGACATAAAGATAACTCGTTGCTCTAAGGGATCGAGACTACTTTGTTTCAAAACATATTTTCATATATTTGATTGCATGTCTCTGTATGTATGTATATGTTTAAATGCACATACGCATACTGCAGTTTTTTAGTGATTTGTACTTACCAGGATGTATCTAGGGTCTGGGTATTGTGTGCAACCTGTGATTTGTCCAGTTACACGTGTATGAGCGTCTGTCGTTTTAGTTGTGTTCTTCGGTCCTGCCTAGGATTGAGACGTGCTCAAAACAGAAACACCTCTATGTCTCATTGAGTTCTAAGAGACAGCAGATGTCTAGAGGAGAGGGAAGCAGTCATTTGGGAAGGAGTCCAAGTGTAAGTCCAGTAACTGGTGACGTTTTTTGTCTCTGCCACCTGCCCCCTCTTCCAGGATCGAGATGTCGAAGGACGCGCTTCCCGAGAGGGCCTGTCAGCTGGACAGCCGCTACTGGAGAATAACGAATGCCAAGGGTGATGTGGAGGAGGTTCAGGGGCCTGGAGTTGTGGGTAGGTCGCCTGGAGCCGGGCCTTTACCGTAGCTGTTGGGAAGAGGTGTGGGACTTGCATCACAACTGTAACGTGTCAAGGCCATCGTGCTGTCAGTTCAGTCCCTTCAACGAGAGCTTCTAAAGTGGCAGCAACTCTGTTGTTCCGGGGTCGATTGGCTTTTCCGTGGTTCACCTTGGGCTCCTGCTTCCTTCTTGGCTTTTTTTAACTGGTCATTGTCCTCAGATTCTGTGGGTCAGAAAGCACAGTGCAAGTGGAAAGTAAATTTCTTACTGGCCATCTTTTTGAAGTTGGGGGGCAAATGTTAAAAACATTGGCACGAGTTTCGCGGCTTGTGGCTCGCAGTCATGTTAGTTGCCGTTGTCATTTGGCTTTTCAAAACCCCTGATGATCTTGGCCCCTGAGCCTGCTGATTCTTTGGGTTGGAACGTGTACCCCGGGAAAGGACACGTTAAACCGTGTGCCTGTTGCCAGGTCCGAGCACATGCAGAATCAGGTTAAAGGTTCTGAATTCGTTGCCATTGACAGACTCATGTCCTGCATATTGCTTCCTGAGTGTTTCCTGGACTTGACCACTGTGCCCGAGAGCTGTATGAGGGCCGAAATTCTCTTTCTGCCTTGGGTCCGCTGCTGTGAGGATGCTCCCACGACTGCCGGGTTGTGTAGTCTGAGTGCCAGGATCATCGCCACAGCTTTATGTTTCAGCTTCTTGCTACTCTTAAAATATTTAGATCACCCTCATCTCTGTGTGAACTAGTGTCTGTTCATTTTTAATACTCATATCTTGCCGGGTGCGGTGGCTCATGCCCGTCATCCCAGCACTTTGGAAGGTGGAGGCAAGAGAATTACCTGAGCTCTGGGGTTCAAGACCAGCCTGAGCAACATCGTGAGACCTCGTCTCTACAATAAATTAAAAAAATCAGCTGGATGATGGCACGTGCCTGTGGTTCCAGCTACTTGGAAGGCTGAGGCGGAAGGATCGCCTGAGCCCAGCAGGTCGAGGCTGCAGTGGCCTTGAGCATGCCCCTGCACTCCAGCCTGGGTGACAGAGTGAAACTGACTCAACAACAACAACAACAAAAAAACACAGGCTGTGTCTTCAGTGCTTCAAAGCACTTTGAAAAAGAAAATGTAACTTTCTATTTGTTTATTAAATGATTTCCCCCTTCAACATTTAAAGGATTTGGGGAATTTTTTTAAAATATTAAAAGAAATAAGATACCCACTCCTTGTCCTATCGCTGTTAATGTCTTGTTGTATTTTCTGTGAGAGTTTCTCCTCAAACCCTGCGTTCACCAGTATGTAGCTTGCATGACCCTGCAGAGAACGAGTGACGGGCTGTTGTGACGAACTGGCTCTGGTGCTTGGGATCACGGTGACTGTCATCCCTGCAGGTGAATTTCCCATCATCAGCCCAGGTCGGGTGTATGAGTACACAAGCTGCACCACGTTCTCGACGACATCTGGATACATGGAAGGCTACTACACTTTCCACTTCCTCTACTTCAAAGACAAAATCTTCAACGTGGCCATCCCCCGGTTCCACATGGCCTGCCCAACCTTCAGGGTGTCTGTCGCCCGGCTGGTAAGTGTCGTCTTTCTCTGGTGCTGACTCGTGTGACTGTAGGGTTCGTACTGCGGACCGGGCAGAGAAGTGGCTTAGAACGAGTGTCCCTGACACGTCCTGGGGGCCCCGTGAATCTGCTGAGAGAGAGACAAGCCAGCAGGGCTCAGTGTTCTCCAGCCGAGAAACTCGGCCTGCTTTGAGGACTTGGCTTCCTCCCACTTTCTCAGTGGGAATTCCCATGCTAGACCAGTCAGAGGCAGCTTGACTTCACTAAGTCGGGGAACACAGTTGCTAACAGGGATGTGGCTGAAACTCCCAGTGTGATGTCAAATAAGCAAGTATCCCGCAGACATCATGACTAAGGTCATTTAGCTTCAGCAGTCTCCAGGATGTTTCTCAAGTCAACTAGATTTATTTTAAAATCTCATGTTTCGGGTCACCCAGTGCCAAGTATTCACAGCACCCCCAACCTTAGAGTCTAAAGCGTGAGCAAAGGAAGCCGTGGCGTTCCAGTCACACAACAGGAATAAAACAGGAATGGTATACCCAGAATGCAGTTGAGTTGTAGGCTCAGAATGTTCAGAGAGTGTTCTCCAGAATCACCCTGATGGGTTAAGTCTGGGAGACGGACGTGATGTTAATCTGACCCAGAGCTGATACATTCTTGGCTCCAGCTGGAAAGAGCAGACGATAAGGAGACTTGAGGCCTCATGCTGGGGCTGTGTCTGGTGAAAAGGGTCCACAGTCTGGATTGGGATGGGGAGTCGTATCTTCCTTCCCCGTGGTGGAACACCGGAAACTGTATTTCTAGACAGTGGCTCACTCCTCAGAACTTTGGGAGGCTGAGGTGGGAGGGTTGCTTGAGGCCGGAGTTTAAAACCAGCCTGGGCAACACAGTGAGACCTTGTCTCTATAAAAAATAATTTTCAGAGTGAGCTGGGCGTCAGGCATATGCCTGTAACTAATTGAGGAGGCTGAGGCAGGAGGATCCTTTGAGCCCAGAAGTTCCAGGTTGCAGTGAGCTATGATCTCACCACACTGCTCTCTAGCTCAGGTGATAGAATGAACCTTGCTCCCCCCAAATAAATAAGAACATAAATAAGGAACTGTGTATTTCCAGTACTGCGAATTTGCTACTTTGTTTTCAACTAGCCCAGGATCTATATGAGAGTGGTAAAATCTTTTTTTTTTTTTTTTTGAGTTGGAGTCTCACTCCGTTGCCCATACTGGAGTGCAGTGGCTGCTCCCAGCCACCGCAGCCTCGACCTGCTGGGCTCCGACAGTCCTTCCGCCTCAGCCTTCCAAGTAGCTGGATCTACAGGCGCGCGCTACCATGCCCGGCTAATTTTTTTGATTTATTGTAGAGATGAGGTCTCGCTGCCCAGGCGGGTCTCGAACCTGTGGGCTCAGGCAATCCACTCACCTCAGCCTCCCAAAGGCGCGGGATTACAGGCTGAGCCACTGAGCCCGGCTGAGTGGTAAAATCTTACCCTTGAATGTTCCATATGATTCATCAGTTAAGTTGTCTGGGGCTTTAGTTCTTTTTGTGGGAAGATTTTGAAATATGAATTTCTTTAATATTCATATTTTCTTTCTTCTTGTTTCAGTTTTGGTAATTTGTGCCTTTCAAGGAATTTGTCCATTTCATCTAAATGTTGAATTTATTGGCATAAAGCTATTGACAATATTCTCTTGATATCCTTTTAATGGCTAAAGGGCATAGTCAGACATCCTTTTTTTGTTCTTAGTGTTGGTAACGTATGTCTTTTGTTCGTCACTTTAGCTAGGGGGATCATACATATTGATCATTTCAAGGAACAACCATTGGTTTCACTGATTTTCTTGACTCTTTACTCATTCTCTATCTTACTGCTTTCTGCAATCGCCTTTTTTATTTCTCTCCTTGTTCTTACTTTGGGTTTAATTTGCGTTTCTTCTAGCTTTTTGCAGTAGTATTAATTTTAGATCTTTCTCCTCTCTAAGCACTGTTTTAGCTGCATTTCACAAATTTTGATATGTTGGGTTTTCATGAACATTTGGTTCAAAATCATCTTAGATTTCCTCTGTAATTTAATTTTGATCTATGGCTTTTCTAGCAATGTGTTAACTTCCAAACATTTGGGGAGTTTTCAGTTGTCTTTGGTTACTGATTTCTAATATTATTGTGGTTTGAGAACTTGCTTTGTATTTTCAACTTTGAAATGTTTGTGACCTAACATTATGGTCTGTCTTAGAAAATGATCCTTGCGTATTTGAAAAGAATGTATATTGTGCTATTTGGGGGAATATTATTTCTATAAATGACAGATCAAATTGGTTGACAGTGTTTTTCAAGCCTGTTATATATTTGTTTTTTGTGGTCTTTGTTCTATTAACTATTGAGAGATGACTGTTGAAATCTAACACGATTCCAGTTGTGTCTGTTTCGCCTTAATTCTGTCTGGTTTGCTTCATGTACTTGGAAGCCCTGGGGTCGTAAGCAGACACACCTAGGATTGTTATGTCTTCTTTGTGCCGCGATTCTTTTGTTATGAAATCCCCCACTTTACTTCTGATAATGTTCTTTTTGCTAAAGTTCTAAGAGCATTGAGGTTCCTTTGGCAGGCGGCTGGGTGACTTGGGTCAGCCTGATCCTTTGAAACTTGCTTTTAGTCTCTGTTAGGTGGGTGCAAGGTTGGTTTCACCCAAGGACGGGGCTCCTCAACTTTTCTATACCCTGACCCCTGTGAAGTGCTGGAAGCTACCGAGAACTCCAGAGAGCTCCGGCTTCTGCGGGTTATGTTAGCAGCTGCCACACTGAAGTCCACGCTGGGGCAGTGACAGTATGCGCCGACGAATCCCTCCTCAAGTGCCAGTGATGAGCCCGTCACCCAGGCAGCCCTATCCCAACCATGTTCTTGCCTAGAGTTTTCGTTCTCTCCTAACCACAAATAAACATGTACAATCTTGACCTGTCTTGTGGAAAATGTTTTCTCTCAAGGATGAGAAATCAGTGAAAAGAAATGAGATTTCTGGACTTCTCTTGTCCACATGGGGTGAGGGGAGGGGGGCAGAGGGTCGTCCTGTTGTCTTTCCTGTGTAAATATTCATCTTCTTGCTGTGGAGGTGGAATCGCCCGCTCCCTTTTCGTCTGACATTTTTCAGGCATCCTGCTTCATGCCCGTACCCCTCAAATGCCCAGTTAAGTCTGCTTGCGGCTGCCATGCGTCTCCCGGGCTGGCCTGTCGGTCTGGCTGGCTCGTCTGGGGCACAGTGGAGGCTCCAGGCTCACCATTCCCTTCTGGGCTGTTCCATCTCTGCCTGGTGCCTGCTCTGACAACCGCTCTCCTTTGCCACCTTGATTTAATAGCTTCCTGCTTCATTAAGATAATTGATAATCGCACTTTCTGGATGCTATGTTGTAGTTTCCTAAGCCTCCCGCTCCCTGCCTTTTGGGCCGCCTCCTGAATTGTGACGTATTCATCCATTAGGCTGACAACAGATCCAGAAATACAAAGATGGAGGGGCATGTGAGTCGCCTCAGAGTGTGTACATTCTCTAGTTGTGGACATGAGTATGTCATGTTTCGCACGTGACACAGTCCTTCCACACAACTCTGTTCTCACCCAGCACATGGTGTTGAGCGCTGCTGCACCAGGAAACCCTGCGTGGAGCTCACAGTCCAGCTGGGAGAGGCAGCCGCCCGTGGTAGCCAGGGGACAGCAGTGTCCTGTTGGGTGGCTCCAGGAGGGAACCATGGTGGAAAAGGCCTTGGTGACTTAAGCTGAGGCACGGAGGACTGAAGGGAGTTGGGTGTGGAGTGTTTGCACCATGTTTGGTTTGTGTGCACCGAGGAGGCCATGGCCAGAGAGCTGCTGGAGATGAGGTCTGAGGTCCTGGTGCGTGGCAAGGGAAGGCCATGGAAGCCTGGAGGGGGGTAGGGCTTCTGCTGCCCCCAAACATCCCACAGGCCCCACGGGTCCTCCTGGCTGTTACCACCCTGTCCGGCCCAGCCGCTGCTCTTGGTGGACGCAAACTTGGCAGCAAATGAGGCTGGACTTGATTAGGCAGAGTCGACCGTCCGAGGGGTATCAGAGCCGGCTCGTTCAGCGTCGCTGCTGCCTGTTCCGAGAGCCTCCACGAGGGAGGCTGGAAGCAGAGGCTGCCTTTCTCTACCGTGATCCTCAGAATGTGCTTCCAGCTGGCAAGTGACACGGTGGCTTCTGGGTTGGAGAAAGGCAATGCGCCCTCCACCTGGAATTCTGTTTCTCCTGGGACTCGTGTCTTTGGCGTCCTGAGCCACCAAGTGAGCTCATGTTGAAGAGGCTGTGTCAACACCACAGGGGGTGGAGGGGCGCCCGGAGCCCATGGCCTCAGCCTCCAGATGCTGTGCGTCCCACCCAGGAAGGCAGAGGCCCTGGAGGACCATGGTCCCACTACCATCTGGCCGTATGCTGTGGGAGGCCCACCAGAGCACCCCGAGGACCTCCCCCAGAAACTCAGCCCACACCCACCCTGAGTCAGTGAATGACTGCTGTTGTCTGAACCACTGAAAAATTAAAGCATGCTTTTAAAACGTGGAGGCTGCTGGCGTTTGATGAGGTGACGCGTCTGCGGCCGAGCGCTTGGTGGCTGCTGCCAGCAGAGGGCACCCTCGCTCCGTGTGCGCCCAGTAAGTCTTGAGGACTTAGCACGCCTGTGCCAGCTTCTAGAGTTTTATCTTGAGCTGTTAGGGTGGCCTACTGCTGGAGTCTCAATTACCACCTGCTGTATACAGAGTAAGTGTCGCCCCAGTGAAGTGTTGGCCATTAAAACCACACTGAGCCGGGCGCAGGGGCTCATGCCTGTCATCCCAGCACTTTGGGAGGCTGAGGCAAAAGGAGCAAAAGCCTGAGCCCAGGGGTTCGAGACCAACCTAGGCAAGCTGGCAAGATCTCTCCTCGACAATAAATCAAAAGATGAACTGGGCATGGTGGCGCACACCTGGGGTTCCAGCTGCTCGGGAGGCTGAAGGAGGGAGGATCGCCTGAGCCCAGCAAGTGGAGGCTGCGGTGGCCATGAATGTGCCCCTTCTCCCCAGCCTGGGCGACAGAGTGAGACTCTGACTCAAAAAAAACCAAAACCCACACTGAGCTGGCAAGGTGGTGCAGGCCTGTGGTCCCAGCTGCTCTGAGGCAGGAGGACCTTATCTCTACCAACACAAGTAAATACAAGGTTTAAAAAGAATCTTCCATTAGAAAGCAACCCCACGGCCATAACGAGTGTCGTTCGGCAGGTGATACAGAGCACTCCAGGACCGGGGTTGGCCTGTGTGGAAACTCACACCAGGCAGTCTGGCTGCCTGAAGTTTGGAGGGGTGAGAATGTGCATTAAGTGACGGTGGAGGCTGTTGGGTGCACGTCTCACCCAGAGGTTGCTTTCTCTTTCAAGGAGATGGGGCCCGATGAGTATGAGGAGATGGAGGAGGAAGAGGAGGAGGAGGAGGAGGACGGTGACTCAGCAGACATGGACGCGTCTGACGACGAGGACGAGGAGGAGAGACGCAGGAGGGCCGCCGCTCGCGCCTTCTTCAGCGCCTTCCGCCGGGGGAACCCTGGGGTGGCCCCCCTGTGAGCAGCCCTGGGTCGTGTCCATGGCGGGGGCGTTCTCGCAGGACGCACGGGAGGCGCTCCTGGCTGGGTGGGCCTCTGCCTCGCGGGAGCGGGCCATCGGGCTGCCGGGCTGTGCGGTCGGGGGACATGGAGCCTCTTTTTCTCTTCCAGGAGCGAATGACTGCAGGAGCTGCTCTCTGGCCAAGGAAAAGACGTTTCTTTGTTTCAAACTGTTTTGTACTCATAACAACATAGGAATGGAGGGGATCGTTTTGAATGAGGATTTAAAATGTAGCAGAAATACCTGCCGTTGATGTGGCTGCGGCTGCTGTGGAGACGCCGCGCGGGTGGAGTTCCTTGGACGCAGACACCATATGTCATAGGGCCGGTCGCTTGGTGGCTCCTGACGTCGTGTGCTCCCAGGAGCCAACTGACTGAGTGACCCGAGTGGCTTTTCCTTTCCCAGACATTCTGCCCTTGACCTTCGTCTTTGTCGCTGAGACCGCAAACTTGAGTGTTTCATCTCACGACCCTGAACTCAAGCTTCCAACATGATGCCCTCCATCACAATCCACAGGCGCTCACGCAGAACGCCGCATGTGGGTCTGCCGTGGGCCGTTCCCTCGTGGCATCTTGTGGTCTCGGTTGTAAATGCCACGCCCTGGGGCTCTCCTCTGTATACCTGACGGTCTGCCTTTGTGATCAGTGACATGAGTTCATGTTAGGGTTAAGTGTGTTTTCCTGAAACATGAATTTTTTGGTAATTATGTGATACGAGTGAACATGAGATCCTTCTAGCGTTAGCCTCACATCCTGAAGGCCATGCTGGTCTTGAGCGTGTGTTCTGTGTGGCTGCCTGTTCCCATAGGCCAATGTGAGCCTGTGGTCTTAAGATGGAGGACAGTGGCTTCTTGGCGGCCGCCTGGAGCACTGCAGCTGTCGGTCCTCAGGCTTCACCGGCACCCCTGGGTGCTGTACCACACATCTTCCCCAGGAACAGACCATTTGTAGATAAAACTGGGGAGGGGGCTGGGATTCTGGGTAAAAAAGCTGCCGTGGGGAGCTGGAAGGCAAACCTGCCCTTTGCTGTGGCGCATGTCAAAACGTTCTGGAATGGAGGAGGTCGTTCTCCTGCCTGCCTGGTGGTATGGGTGTATCGGGCTGTCGTGTCCTGGTATGGATAGCCTTTCTTAGAAAAGCAACTGCTGGCTGGGCGCAGTGGCTCAGCCTGTCATCCTGGCAATTTGGGAGGCTGAGGCGAGGGGATTGCTTGACCCTGGGGGCTCGAGCCCAGCCTGGGCAACTTGGGGAGGCCTCTTCTCTACAATAAATCAACTAGCCAGGCGTGGTGGCACACATCTGAAGTTTCAGCTCCTTGGAAGGCTGAGGCGGAAGGATTGCCAGAGTCCAGCAGGTCGAGACTGCAGTGGTCGTGAACGTGCCGCTGTACTCCAGTCTGGGCGACAGAGTGAGACTCCAACTCAAAAAAAAGGAAAAAGCAACTGCCTGTATTTGGGTTGCTGTGACGAGATACCTGAGGCTGCACGGTTCACAACAGGTGTGGCTCACAGCTCCGGAGGCTGGGAAGGCCCAAGGTGCGCAGCCAGCAGCTTCTGTGTCTGGAAGGACCCGCGCTCTGCCTGGAAAATGGCACCTCTCACCACAGCCTCACATGGTGGGAACACACAGGTGCCTTGGGCCTCAGGGGCCCCAATCCTGTTCAGGAGGGCACAGCCAGTGGCTTGGGGATTCGGTTTCAACATGTAGATTTGGGGGAACACAAACATTCGACCACTCATTTTTTAAAAACCCAAACTCTCCCAGTGGAGCAGGCATTGAAAGCCAGTGGATCTTGGCAGGGACAGCCACCCGGCAGCCCCACCATCCTGGCGTTTGCTCACTGTCATCCTTGGCACCCTGGCCCTTTCTGGATGAATGACCTCTCCCGTCTCTGCCCAGGACCCCTGCCACCTGGGGTCCCATAGCCCCCTGAGCCCCTAAAGCCCACCAATCCTGGCCCTCCCAGCCCTGACAGCCCACTAGCCCTGGCTCCTTGGGACCCCCAGGACCCATCACCCCCCAGCCCAGGCTCCTTAGGCCCCCTGAGCCCCTAAAGCCCACCAGCCCTGACTCCCCGGGCCTCCCGGCTCACCAACTCTAGGTCCTTGGGACCCTCAGGCCCTCCTTGGGGCCCCCGCACCCACAACTCACCAGCCCTGCTCCTTGGGCCCCGAGCTCCCTGCAGCCCACCAGCCCCCTCTCCTCGGAGAGGATCCATGTGGTTATCCCCTCGCTGAAACTCACACTCGCATAGTTGGTTGACCACTTACCCTCTAGTTCACGCTAAGGTGCGATGTGATGGTGACAACCCTGGGCTTAACTTTGCTGGCAAGAACGCCCGTGACACAACACATGAATGGAACTCACACGAACACAGCCCAAACACAACTATGCTTTCGGTGGAGTTGCGGCCATTTCTGGCTCTGGGCTCCTTGAAAATGCCGCCTGGTTTTTACTCATTTGTGTAAATCTTGGCAGGTGGCCGGGATGAGACAGAGACCTGAATGAACAGTGGCTTAGGCAGCTCAGGGGTCTGTCCTTCCCTTGTGAAGAGCCCGGGGTGACTGGCTCAGGCGACATGAGGGCCCAGCGCTGCCACCAACCATCTGTGTTCGTTATGGCTTCAAGATGCCCTCTCAACGGCCACCTCACGGGGTGAGATGGCAGCCTCCGCCATACTGTGCTCCAGAAAAGCCGGTGAGGACAGGAGACTGAAGTGGAAGCAAGCGTGAGGTGTGGGCCGGTGGGGTGAGTGGCCACATGGCTGGCAGGCATGTGGGGACGTGCAGGGCAGGGGCCGCGGGCCTGGGTGTGAGTGTGGCATGGCCTGCCGAGAGGTCGAGAGGCCGAGAGGGTGGGGATGCCCACGTGGGAGTGGGGAAGTCAGCGTCCGGGGCCACGTCTCCATCTTGTTTTTTTCTTTGAGTCAGAATCTTATTCTTACTCAGGCTGCAGTGCAAGGACACGCTCATGGCCACCGCAGCCTCGACCTGCTGGGCTCAGACGACCCCCTCCTGCCTCAGCCTTCCAAGTAGCTGGAACGACAGGCACACGCCACCACACCCAGCTAATTCCTTGATTTACTGTGGAGATGAGGTCTGGCCAAGTTGCCCCGGCTGGTCTCGAACCCCGGAGCTCAGGCAGTCCCTCTTGCCTCAGTCTCCAAGAGTGCTGGGATGACAGGCGTGAGCCACCGCGCCCAGCTGTCTCCATCTTTAGGAAGAGGAATTGCAGGAAGAGCAGCTGGTCACTGAAGGTGAGTTCCGATCCATGGCATGGATGTGGCCAGGACGCCTCCCAAACATGCAGGGGATGTGCCCGGCAGGCTGCAGGGCTGGCTCTTTAGGTGGGCGTGGCCAGGGAAGGGAGGTAAAGATTGCAGATCACCCCAGGTTAAGCAGTGGCTGGCCGCAGTCTTTCAGGAGGATGCATGGCAGTGTTCTCAGTCTCACCCTGAACCCCTATTATGAGTGTGAGAAGGAAGAGGATCTCGAGAAAGGGGGCAAAACCAGAGAGACTGGCCTCAGACTCCGAGAACACAGAGGACAGAGTGGCCAACAAGGGGCGGAAGGTGACATGCGTGGAAGAGCTTTGTAAACATTTTGGCTTGGCCGGGCGCAGTGGCTCACATCTGTCATCCCAGCACTCTGGGATCTGAGGCGAGAGGATTGCCTGAGCCCAGGGGTTGGAGACCAGCCTGGACAACTTGGTGAAACCTTATCTCTACAACAAATAAAAAAATTAGCTGGGCATGGTGGCGCATACCTGCAGGTCCAGCTTCTTGGAAGACTGAGGCAGAAGGATCACAAGAGCCCAGCAGGTCGAGGCTGCAGTGGCCATGGGCGTGCCCCTGCACTCCAGCCTGGGCAACAGAGTGAGACTCCGACTCAAATAAAAAAATAATCTTGGCTGGGGTCCACTCTGCAAGCAGGCACGCCTTAAATACAAATGCAATCCTTTTGATGGAAGAGTCCCCCATTCGTGTAGATGAAGACCCCCACCGCCAAGTGACATCCCAAAGCACTGAGAATTGCAGTAGCAGGCAGATGTCAAGCGGCCACCCTGCGAGAGGCTCCTGACTGGTGAGGACCCTGTTTGAGTGTGGCATGGTACATACCTCCCCCATCAGAACCACACTCCCCCAGCGGCCTCCTTGGGAGGGAGACTTGCACCCTGGTCTGGGGACACTTAAGGCCAGTTCTGCAGTGGCTGGGACACTGTCCAAGAGGCAAGTGGAAACGCTGATGACATCTCACATACAAATAAGGTCCTGCACAGGGCTGTGGCCGGAGCAGGTGCCTATGACGCGATGCTGCCTCGGCATAAACGCGCTGAACTTGGGCACCAGAAGCAGGGCACACACTGGCGCAGGTGCCCAGGCACCGCGCCTCTCAAATGGCTGCAGCTGCTGACCAGAGATAAAGCAGCCGGCTGGTGGCTGTGGGCCCTCCCAGCTCAGCCTCCCCTGCTCTGAATCCACCAATGACAGCTCCCCAGAGGCAGTGGAGTCCGGATGGGCCCCGTGGCCTCTCCAGCCTGTGCTCTGGCCTCCCAGGTGGCCTCCAGGCCAGCTGTGCACCCGGAGGGTGTGTAAGGACTAAGGCTCCCAAGCCCTCCAGTCTGTGTCATTCACTGAGGCCACGCCCGCCGCCGCTCCCCACCGCCCTAGCCACCCCAAGGGAGGCAAGCAGGCAAGGCGGGTCCCCAGTCTCTGTGACTGCGGGGACAGTAGCCACCAGAAGGGTGACAAACTCCAAGAGTCTCAGTCCTGCCCGGAAACCTCTAGACCAGAGCAGTTCTGCCCTGGCTCCAAGCACGTCACCAAGCAGGGAGGCGGCCACGGGGGTGGGGCCATTGGGGGCCAGGCCGGGGAAGCCCCGGCGCGGCGAGCCACGCACGTGGGCAGCAGTTTGGGGAAGCATCGTTTAAACCATAGAAAACCTCATCTACGTGGGAACGTCTGGGAGTTTCAACGTGGCTCACTTTCCCAAGGTCAAGCGAGGAGGACGCCGAGAACCTTCCGTCCGGGCCCGGAAGGGCCTGCCT